TTTTATTAAATATGCAAACAGAAAAACTAATTGTTAATACCATATTGAGATGTTCCTTTAGTGAGCACTCATAAAAAAAACTATATATGACAGTAACTGTAAACAGCAATTAATACGCAGAGTGTTGCTCCACATTTTCCAAAGCTTCACACTTTCTCTATGATTTTCACTGGCAATTAACAGCAAGAAATGATTCATCAGAAAGTGTCAAGGAAGAAATAGACACTATGATGAAGCATAGATTGTTTCTAAAGAAGTTTGACACTATTCAAAAAAGTCTTCCACGCTTTCTGTCCTTTCCCCTCTTTTCAATGCCATTATATTTTAACACCTTTCTGAAGTGCAACTGTGTTCTGTCACCTTCAAAGAGCTCAGTAAATCTATCATATGTTGTGTATCACGATTCAAAGCTAAAAAATATTTTCATCAGAATAGTATAGTTCCATTATATATATAGTTCCAGAATAGAATAGTTCCATTCCCAAACACTAGAAGATTGAAAGGGAAACTTTACTCTTTCCTAAATGACACTTAGAGCTATAGAAATCTTAGCTCTTTTCCCAATATTTCAGAAACAAGGCATCTAAAAGACAACAATATTTCAAAGTCATATTTTAGTCCACAGAAGTTTACTATCTGTAACCATTCAACACAAATATCTTCCAGTCTCTAATACGTCCATCCTGGGCTTATTTCTTCAATTCTTTCCCCCCAGAACAGCATTATCATAGACGTAAGAACTGGAATTATAAATAAGCTCCATTTTCTACTTAATTCTTGTGCTACCATAACCACTACTTACTCCAAGAGAAAGCCAAAGCAAGAATCTTCAATGAAATACATAGTCCCACCATTCAGTAGTAGGCAGCAGAACTCACTCATATGATAGGAATATTTCCTTTTACATGCTGGGTGGAAATCACAAGATTTCAAGAAGAAAGGATTGTGGTCTACCAGAATAGTCTGTCCATCTCGCAATCTCATCTGGAGGATTGTGAAACAAGAAACATCAGTGGTAACCACTTAGTCAAATTCTTTTACAATAAAGTATCCTGTCTTCAGGCCACACGTAGGGTGTCCTATCATATAAAATAATAAATATATATATATAAGAATGCATGTTTAAAAGGAAAGTTTTAACTATCATGACCCACTAGTTCCAACCCTCATATGCAGTGGACAGTTGCCAACCACTGAATCAAGATTAGATCAAGTTGCCCAAGGCCCCATCCAACCTGGCCTTGATCACTTCCAGGTATGGGCATCCACAGTTTCTCTAGGCAGCCTGTGCCTGTCTGTCATCACTCTCTCAGTGAAAAACTTCATCTCGACATCTAATCTAAACCTATCCTCCTTTAATTTAAAACCATTTTCCCTTGTCTTATCATAATCTACCAGGCTATGTGTTCACTGGCAAAATAACTTACTGTAAAGTGTGAGCATAGTGAAAATACCTGATTTTTATATTGACTTGTCAGTGAAGCAGTCAGCAACAAAGGAAAATCAAAGCACAATAGCCAAAGAATAAATCTATTTGAATTTTGATTGCTCAAGGCTGACTAAGCATTCAGTCTCAGTGCCAAAATATGGAATTTGTTGCCTATTAGGATCTGCAAATGTATTCCTGTATATATAGTATCTACAGGGACAATTGTGCACCATATGTGGAGTTTTGTTTTGAATTATTTAATAGTTTTCCGTCCAGGACTAACTTATATTCCAGCAAAGTTTTATACAGAGAGAAAATCAAAAGCCAAGAAGGGATTATGATTCCCATGCTAAGTTACAAGTGAATATGGGGAGGTAGCATCTGTTCCACTTTATCTGACCACCCAATACTGCATAAAACTGAAACTGGATGAAAAGGCAAGTGTAGAAATTATTTCCCAGTCTGTACATTGACAGTGGTTGAGAGTGCATGTCAAGACTGCTTCTAACGTCAGAAGGGTTAACAAGTTGTGTAGTCCAGAAAAAAATACTGTTAAAATTTTCATTATCTTCATCTTAATCTCTATATTTCTCCTTTTCCCTCTTCAACTGTATAAGAAGCTAAATCATAGTAATCCTATAAAAATCATAAATGATTAGGCTAAGAAAACATTTTCCGATTTTACAGCTAGTGTTTTCTGGTTTTTAATTATTGGATAAATCTGTCTTACACATAAACCCTGATGTGTTTTGGATGACAATTTTCCTACATGCATGAAGTGAGGGTATCCTGTATTTCAATTGTACTTCATGGGGAGCACAGTTAACAAGTGTTTCTCCCATGATGAATATCCCTATGCCCAGGAGTTTTAGCAACCATTTGTTTCTTTGGTTAATGCCTCCCACACTATTTTCTCCCATAAGCTTCTGGGAATGCCCTCTGTAACAACTCTTTAGCACCTTCTGGAACTTGTTTTCTCCTTCCACTGATCATCAAGGAGTCACAGAGAAATGGGGTGTACACATGACTCAGGAAATAAACTCACATTATTCTGCATCTCCACTTCGCCTGTGTACTCTTTTGCCTCACAGAAGTCCAACCCAAAAGTAGAAGATATATCTTTGACTCTTCTCATATTTTCTTTCCTCCTGTCTGCAACTCTGGAGCATGTTAATCAAAGAGCTTCTCTGTCCTATCAATCCACTACAAAATTGTCAGCGTCTCCTTCCCAGAACACTTTTGAATGCCACCCATACCTTTCAAAGTACCTATCAAAGAAGGAAGATGCTGTGATTCTTCTCTCTATATTTTTTTGTATATAACTATTGTCTTTCAAGAAGTACAGACACCAACACACCAAGAGGTCGTCGTAATTTGTATCTTATAAGTAATCACATTTTAAAGTCTGTAGCCTTGTGATGTCAGTGCAAGAAATAGCTAGAAAACCTGATAAGAGTGCATTTGTTTTGCAGTGAACAAGTCTAAGCTACAGTAGTTTTTAAATAGCTTTGTATATTAATATCCAGGAATGCACCTGCAGTGTTGTCAATTATAATGATTTTATATTACATGTCTAATGAGTCTTAGTTGCCTGCTACATGGAAACATGATTAAAGGCTAAGTCTATGAATTTTTCCTTTTTCAATATGATTTTCATACTCCATTAATATTGATAGGATCATTGCTAACTGGATAACTGCCTTTTCAAATATCTTGTGGAAGTGCAGTTGCTAATAACAAAAGAGCCATGACTTCCTGGGTGTTTTAATGAGACCATCACCATGCCTCCAGGCAAAACAATTGTCAATTTGCAGTGCAAGGAGATAGATAGAAAATAACCTCTGAAAGGAGCATAAGAGCCATATGGCAGACTGAGGAGATGCAGGAAAACAGGCAGGAAGGACTGTGGAGTATATAATGAATTATATATCTGGTGGTGTCAGATGGAGAGGTAGTATATAAGAGCTATCTTCTCTTCAAGCAGCCTGGTAAATAATTTTTTCTTTTTTTTTTTTCAGACCTCTGTTTGGTCTTCTCTGCCCATTTTTGGGTGAATACATTGAGCTTCAGAAATCCTGAATTAAAAACAAGATTTTACACAAGATTTGCTTTGATTTCAAAAGAATTTAGAGAAATTCTTGGAATTTTTGGATAGTTTGAGACTATAGAATGTATTGTGTTCAGGATCTCCTGCTGGCAGAATATAAGAAAATGTCAAAAATAATATAAAAACAGTTTTACTATTAATCTTAATGAAGGACTAAAAATCTCTTCCCAGACTTTTTTTTTTTTTTTTTTTCCCAGGGTATTTTTTGGTTTGTTTGCAAAGCAATTTTCACCTTCTCTAGCAAAAATAGGTATTCTGTTTTTTTTTTCCACTGAGTTCTTTTAACACAAAAAGAATAAAAAACAACCAAAAAATGTGCCTCTTCTGATAAGCCAAAGTGTATTTGGGCTAATTATTATCTGAAAGAGATAGAAGCTTTGTGGTAGATTGAATTGTGTCAGCATTAATATTAATTAAACTGACAATTTCTAGAAACAAAAGTTATTTGTAATGCATAACCTGTGTGATATAAAATTCTTCCTCATTCCCCTTTAACCTTATGTTTAGATACCTTAATAGCAACCAAATAGTTATTTAATCAAATTTTAAGTATTTCAGCTTGATATGAAAAGTATGAAAAAGTTCTTTCCAGGGGTTAATGGTCTGGAAAGTTATAAGCATCAAAAATGAAGCCCTTAAAATGGAAATAACATCCTAACCATGACTATTAAACTTGTACCTGTGTCACCTCAAGCTGTGAGTTCAGATCTCAAAAGATACTTAGCATCAGGCTGACTCAGTGCTCAGATGAAATCCCTCTAGAGAACACTCAAGTAGAAATTCAGCAGATAGCAGCCTTCCCACTGAGCTGCTAATGAAGTGGTATTCATGCCAGGTGTTTAAGTCTATTGAGGATGAGACAGTATTATTGTCTTATCTAAAGAGTGGCATTGTTACTCTGACAATATAGAAGTTAGCATCTTGGCTGAAGGCTAATTTACATAGTTTCTTTCTGTCTTCCTTCAACATCATTTGGTATGAAAATCTCTACTGCTTGCTCCAAAAGTGTCCCAGTTTATCAACAGTAATTTTGTGTCATTAGGAGGAAAGCATTCAGCAGTCTTCACCATCATTTGGTGAGTCTGCACTGGGAGATTACTAATCACAGCTGCACTACTCAGAGTTTTTCCATGTCCCTGGGCAGGATGCATCAAGTATAGCTTTTGGCCTAGTTGAATCTACACTTCTAAACAAGGTTCTTTGTCTGAGAATCATACAATCATTAATGTTGGAAGAGACCACCAAGATCATTTAGTCAGTCATCAGCTCATCACCATGTGATCCATATCCCTCATTGTGTTAACTGTCCAATCTTTCTGAACAAAAGGGCAGCTCTCTCTTCTTTTGCTACTCATTTGTTCATTAAGTTAAACTTAAGTACTAACAAATAAATGGCCATGCTGAAGTTAAGTCTATCTGTCTAAGAATTTCATCCTCTTAATAGTATGATAAAACAAGACATGACATCATTTTCAGATGAAAGCTGTGATTTTATATTTGCATGCAACTTGGAAAGTATCAGGTACGTACGTTAGATATGCAACGTATTTCAAAAATTAGGAAAAGATCTCAGGATCCATTTGCATGGAGTTTCTTTTTGTTGTTCTAACTGATAAATAGAACAAAACATATATTTACACGGATTTCAATTTGTCTCAGATGCAGTTTCATCTGAAGTTAGCAGGAGCTGCCAGTGATTTCTCCCTCTGAAACTTTAAGCTTTAGTCCTTTGAGTCCCTTGTTGTTAGTAAACCCCCTGGCATTAGTACATTCAGTGAAAATTCTGACAGGAGCCCTCTTGCACAAACTTTGTGCTCTTCTCATATATCTTTCGTTCCAGAACTGGACTTTTTCTCATTTTTCCCTACCTGTTTCTTTTTTGTGTCCCCTGGGTGGCAATAGTTCAAAATAACATCTCATAAAAAGAAATGTAATGGTCTCTATCATGTGATTTGTTCTGCATCTGCTCTCTTAATGTGAACTAGTGCTGGTTCTGAAACTACTGGTAAGTACACCCTCAAACAAGTACATGCAGACATTCTTTTACTCTATTTTTCTGAGGAAATGAAGCTTATGCATTTGCATGTTCTATCCATTCATCTTATCTGTCAGCCCCCTCCCTGCTTCCTACTCTTTGTTTAATTTATATGCCAGATTCAAGTAAATTTGGCAGCAGGAGAAATTCAAAATACAAATAGAATTCTGAAAATACAAATGTTAGTCACTGAGTAGAGCTGCAGAATCATTTTCCTCTTCTGCTAGTGAGAGCAATGAATGCAATTCACACACAGGTGGGAATGTCCATACTGCACCTTCATCTTCCATGGGTCCATCAGCTGGAATGAGAATGGGTTCATCAGGTCAATAGCAATATATTTTTGATGGAAAGCCACATGCACTTAGTTTGAACATATCCTTCCTCCAGCATTTTCAGTTTTATTCCAAGTTCAGTTCTAGGTCATCAGGCTAATCAAAAGCTTTTTTGCCATTTAGAATTCAGGAAAGTATTTTTTTTCCTATATCATACGTTAGTGAAATTCTGTGGAATGAAGATTTAATATTTTACATCTTTATTAGTATCTCAGATCACATCTACATGGTAAATAAAAAATAGATGTAAACAGACACGTCACAGGTGTGAGCAGCATGTTCCCAAAGGAAAACTGTAAGTGCAATTACCCTATGTAAAAAAAGAATATTCATCATAGAACACTCCTTGTCATCTTATCTTTATAATCCAAGAAATAGCCTTATGAACTTGAAGATATTTGCTATAAGATTAATTTATAATTAAAAGTACATTGAGACATCTTTTTAAAGAAAAGCATTCCCCAGTTTCTGTATGCAGTGAACAAGGCAGATGAGTAGGAATACTGTATATACTTACTAACAGGAAATATGCCTATTGATTTAATATATTCTTATACAATAGAAATGATGCAGTCGTTGGACAATAATGTAATGAATTATTATCTTACAACTTACTATCTTATACTGAAAAATCTCTTGTTATTTTGCATGGCATAAGAAGTTAATCTCATATCATACAGTAAACACAAAAAATAACAGACCTAAGTATTTAGATTACTTTAGCTCTAGAATATCTTGATTTAAAAGCACAATTACTATGTTATCATGATCTTAGCAATACTATTTGCTGTAAACAATGTAATTGTATTATAATTGAGAATGTATTCATTTAATGTGTATACAATTAATCTCATTTTCCACCATGCTAAATACATAAAAAAATAAAATATAATTCCAGAACAGAATTTTGTTAGTACAAAGCATATGGATGCAAAGTTGTTTTTTTTTTTTCCAACAGTGTTAGAGAAACACATTATTAATTGAATAAAAGGAGAAATACTACTATGCAATAACTTTCAGCAAAATCTTTGCTCACCAGCTTCCTGTTTCGTAGTTTTGAAATATTTATACATACAGGGACCACATAATCAGAGACGCAATTCAATGTAGTTTTATTGAAAATAAATATGTATTATCTCTAAGGTTAAGCAAAATTATGCACCTGCACAAGAAAAGTATTCAAGTTGCACTGAAAAGCCCCCATTCTGCACTGCACACAAAACTACCCTTCCATATGGAAACAGAAGTGGAGGAGAATATTTCTCTAGGGATTATATAATGATCCACTGAAATTCTCCCATGGTTCCCATTTAAGGTATAGCTCTACAGGACAAAAAGCATGGAATAAAAGCTTCTAAGTAAGAGGATGGTGTAGCAAATAAAAAACACTTCATCTGTGTTGCATCCCAAATTTTCTCACACTTAAAAGATGAGATCAGTGCTATGACAGCAGGTTAAAGGCTGAAGACCTGGTCAGAGGAGGGAGCACTGTGTAGGCAGGATGGCCTTGCTCTGTCCTCAAATCTCTTGTTTACTGCAAAGTTTTGACTGCAAACTTTTTTATGGCCAACTTGGTGACGATTAACCCTGTAAGTCTAGGTGGCATAAAAGGATGCCCAAGAGAAGTATGGGGAGGTTTTGAGACTTTGGAAATTCTGGATGAGAAATCTCACAGACTGAGGACCTCACTCAGGCACACTGGCTCATTCAGTGCTGGAACCCAGATTGGTGATCTCTTTCTCCCCCACAGCTCCATTTCTCTTTTATTTCTCTTTCACAAAGTTGGTAGGTAAAGCACGTCTTGTTTCAATTTCTTATAAAGTCACATAGTTTTGCCACCCAGCTTAGACAGTTATAATTGTGAGAATGCCAATATTTTATTAGATAATTCTAGTATGGAGATGTTCATTAAAACTGTTGGTTATGTTTGAACCTAGAATGTTACTTTCACTTCAATCTAACGAGGTGGGGAAGGATGTGCAAATCTGGTCACACTTCCCCCCTTTCATGTGTGGGATGTAACAGCTGGATCTGAACCGGTATCCTAGATTCAAAGCATAAGATTTTGGAAGGACTCTGAACTCCACAAAATAGGGACACTAAACTGCTGGGTGGTGATTCTTAAGAGCCTCCAGATGGAAAGAAGTACTGTTGTGCACTCTTCTGACTCTGTATTTCTCTCATTGTTCTTACTATGTTTTTCCTCCTGAAGAGAGCCTCAGCCCTCCCTCACAGTTATGCAGATTGGGTCCAAGGAGGCTTTTACCCTGTGTATACAGAAACTGCAAAAGGAAACAAAGTTCAGGCATGACCAACTCAGGGCCTGTGGGCCACACGTGGCACAGCACAGCTCACAGAGCTGCCTGCCCCACTCCTCACTCCATAAAGCCAGCAGCTGTTCCCCCCAGAGTGGCTCCTGGCACACATCCATCACTCAGCAACAGCCAAACTATCAGTGTGCTATTAATACTGTGTCAACTAAAAGCAGGGCATGGGTAGAGCAGAGCTATACAGCAGTGACTCAAGTGATGGCAAATAGTCGCATGCATTTTTGATACACTGGCTAAACACAGGGTCTGAACAACAAAGACTACATGGCTATGCTTTCTGTTTTGATGAAGGAATTTGAGAATAGGTTTCAAGATTACTGAAAAAATCAATTTATGCTTGTGACACAACTTTCTAGAGATACAAATACATTACCTTCAAATTTTCAAATGAAATGTATACAGATGCAACCAAATATTCAACTCATAACACTGCTCACATCTCTTCACGAAACTTTTACAATTCCTATCTTAGCAGAGAAAAGTATCCTTCCCTTCACAATCACTTTATTTGTGGCATCACTTTTTGGCAGTACACACATAACTGAATAACTGTTTTTAAGGATAAAGCACAGAAAGAATAAAATTTCATCAAAAATAGAAGAGCACTTTGAGAATTCACTGAGAATTGCAATTACTGATATCAGACCAGCCTGAGGAATTTGTTTCATAAAAACAGGGTCAAATATCCCACTAGTTTTATGTTTTTGTTCTTCTCTTTTTTAAAAAACATTTTAAGGAAAATGTTAAAACATGTTTTGTTACTTATATGTTAACAATACTGTATATTTTACAAAGGCTGCTCTGAAAGTCATGCCTCCTCTTTCATTATTTTGGCCCACAGTGTCTGAGGCAGATGGTGGTGTGGCAGCAGAGGATGAACTTTCCCACCAATATTCCCCTGCATGTTGTTGCCTTGTGACAAGTGGCAGCAGAGGGGCAGTCTGACAGCATGATGTCTAATGTGGAGGTGCATATGATGCAAAGGTGTGGAAGTGAATACCTCCACGTGGAAGAAATGACATCTGTTGACATTCATCAACACTTGAACATTTATGAAGACGTATGTGAACACAGTGAAATGGTGGGTGGTGAGTTTCAGCAGTGGCTCTTTTTAATTGCTGGCAAAGATGCATAACTAATGGTAGTGACAGTGCTGAAAAAATATTGTTTTGTAGCTAAGATTTTTTTTCTATCCATTAGTGTTATTATGCTCTTCGTATCTGTGGTAATTTCCACGGAAATAAATAGGAAGCATGACTTTTGGAGCAATTACACAGCCCAAGACAATTCCTCTTCACTCAGTGCAGACTAGGAAAGCCAAAATGACATACATCCATCATGCAGTTTAATGGAGTAGCAATTAGAAGCAAATGGCAGCATCTCCTCTTATAGAACTTGCAGGGAATTCAGGGAAGGAGTTTTTATATATCTCAGTAGATACACCACTGAAGCAAGGATAGAATGTGGGAAATCTGAAACTGTCAAAAAACCAAACAGCACTCACAACTGTGGTTTAAAGTCATGCTTTTTTTTTTCCTAGGGAAGCTGCTATGGCAATATATGTATTTGTCCATTTTCATGACAAGTTGTGCACCCACATTTTAACAACTGAAACCATGATCAATCATCTCAGATAAAAGTACCCAAAAAAATCCCTTCAGAGAAGTTCAGAAAGGCAATCATCACAAATGATTTGACAAAGTGCTGTGGTCAGAGTATTTCAGAACCATCCTGAACATACAATAGCAATACTATAGGATTCAAGCTGCAGAATAGTTGTTAGTAGGATTTTAACTTACCAAGTGGACTCAGATTCTATCTTCCAAAGCCTGGAGTGCAATTTGATCAAATGACAAATTGATTTTAAAATTGTTTTTATAACTTATGAAAGCATTGCTCAATTTGGGATCTTCTGCTTGTATTTATCTTCAGTTCCATCTGTGCACTCAAATTCTACACTGCTGTTTGAGAGTAGTTGGCTGTTCTAAATTAAAGGAGCACAAGCTCATCTTTGCCGTGTATAACGACAAGAACAGCAATTTCTGACTGTAGGCTGAAAACCTTGCTCAAGCATATCAGAAATCTAAACCTATATTACCCTTTGATATTAGCTATTTTCTAACTGTAACAGGATCTTCTGGTTTTTTTGTTTCATTTTGTTTAACTGCTCTGATGTTGCTAGATGGCAGATGCTGAGGAACAATATTTTACTACAAAAGTGAAAAAATACAATGATAAGAAGAAAAAGAGAGGAAAGAGGGAAAGAAAGAAGGAATGGAAAATATGCTCCCTGGCTTATTTGTAACCCAGTCTGCTGCCAGTGATGTCAGCAGAACTGTCATAGTACAGGGAAAATTATGACAAGATGGAGTCCTTTCAAAAATCCCACCCACAAGTAGTCCCAGCACTCTCCTAACTAATACTAGCACACACTGACACAGAGACATCCCTAGTCATCCACAAACAGGAAATTCCATTCACACCAGACTCCTATGGAGTATGGAGCATATGGAGTTTTTTCGTACTGCCAGAGGATTTTATGACAATTAGAATTTTCTCTTGAAATCTCAGCATTCTCTGAACACCATCCTGACAGCAGCCATGCAAGACCAAGAAAGGAAAGCCACCTATACACA